ATCTGTGAACAGCTGGGGAGATAGGGATGGACAGTGGGCACTGCAGTATTGTGTGATTGACATGATAATTCCTGGCAACTCTGTGCACAGACCAAGGTAAGAATAATCATGTGAAGCATGGCCTTGGAGTTTGAGGTCTGGTACTGGTCTTACGTTGTGTGCGAACGGCTTGCAAAAGGGTTGCATGATGGTACACCTCATTTCCTAGAACCGAGAATTGGTGTGCACGATGCTGCAGAAGAGCAGTTCCTGCAGTACCATGACCACAGGTTGCTGAGAGAATAACAGTTCCAAAGTGGGGGACAGAGAAAGGGCTCCCAGAGCTGTTGCTGCTATAAGTCCTTTAGGAGATATGTTGCAAAATTGGAAGAGAAATTTGAAAACCAGGGATAAGGATAAATAGAAAATGATTAGGTATTGTGTTATTGTATGACCTAAAGAGCCAATTGTAGGGGAATCAGTATTTTGGCCAAAATACAGGTCTGACAAAGACTGGGTTTGTCAGGCTTCAAACGTGCACGTAAACAGTAAAACTCCTCTATTTATAATTTTTTTGTTTTGTTTTGTTTTGGAAGAGAAGTCCGCATATGCTGCTTGTTATATTTAGGGAGTACAGCAGTTAATCATGGCTAGCCAAAATTCTGTAGGTGAGGAAGAACGGAGAAACCCCAGATGGGATCCTTTAAGCTGCTTACTCCCTGTACCTTTCCCTCGGATTAAACTCACTCACTTTCCTCTGTGGAACATCGTTCCCCCCCCTTACCATCCTGGCCTTGAGTCAAGTCCTGTAACTACAGGAGGGAGGCTGGACCGAGTGGAGGATACTGGCTCAGATCAGCTCCTTAACAGCCCACCTGAACCGAGCTCTGCGGCTAATACTGATGCTAAAAAGAAAAAGTTCTTCCAGCTTGAGAAAGAATTGCAACAATGCAAAAAGGGATGTTATAAATCCTCCTTTTCCTAAATCTAACTTCATTAACCCCACTAATACTTAAGTTCCAATGTTATCAGAAGATATATGATATGTAAACTCCCTACTAGTAAGTGGGCAGGTAAGAAATTTTAAAAGGGAAATGATATCTTTAATGAAAGATCTTATTGGATTAGCAGAACGGTTTGATCAATTCTTGGTCATCTTTAGCTTATAAAATACTGGGACTTAATTTAACTGGGAACACCTTAAGAATAACAGGGGTAGAGGGATCAAGAATGATAGTTTCACTTTTTGAGACTATTGAATGGGAAGATAAAATAGTCAGAGGGCAGTTATTACACGTGTCAAAAGCAGGGATCAATTCACTGGGGAGAGATTTAATAGTTAAATTAGGATTGCAGTTATAAACTTGTGGAACAGGTATAAAGGTGTCAGTGAACTTGTTAACAGCTGCTGATGAAAAAGAAATAAATCCAAAGGTGTGGGTAGGGGAAGGAAATTGTGAGTGGACTCACAATTACTCCCTTAAAAATAACTGTCCAAGGAGGGATGAAGCTGTGAAACAGCGGCAATATCCCGTATCTTTAAAAAGGGTAATGAGTCTAAAGCCTGTAATACAAACATTGGTTAAGAATGGTCTTCTGGAACTCTGTATGTCACCCTGTAACACTCCAATTTTGCCATTACAGAAGGCAGATGGCACCTATCAACTGGTACAAGATTAATGAAATAGTTCTCAAGCAACACCCCCTGGTTCCTAACCCCTATACTTTAATGAGTCAGATCCCACACAAACATAAATGGTTCAGTGTAACAGACTTAAAAGATGCTTTCCTGACCTGTGTTTTAGACTGAGAGTTGACATCTTTTTGCCTTCGAATGAGAGGACCCAGGAATTGGACAAAAGTAGGTATTGGACAAAAGTAGCAATATAGGTGGATTGTTTTACCCCAAGGGTTCACGGAATCACCCAATTTCATTTTTTATTATATTTTATATATTATATTATTATATTACTATATATTATATTATTTTTATATATTATATATTATTTTATATTTTATTTTTATTTTAACTAGTTAATTGCTGGAGAAAGTTTTGGAAAAGTTTCAAGTTGAAGAGGGGGTAAAGCTATTACAGTATGTGGATGATATGATGATTTGTGAAACAAAGGAGTCTAAAGTAAAAGAGACTACAAGTAAACTTCTGAATTTCTTGGGGAACAAGGGTTAAGGATGTTTAAAAGTAAACTGTAGTATGTGGAAAAAGAAGTCAGATACCTTGGGCATGTAATTTCTGAAGGGAAATGGAGAATTAATTCTCAAAAAATTCAGGGCATTGTGCAGCTTCCTCTGCACAGGACAAAGAAGGAGTTGTGAAAGTTTCTAGGTCAAATTGGATACTGTAAATTATGAGTAGAAGCATGTGTACAAAATAAAAATAAAAATTCCAAAGAGATTGTATCTAAAACTATCAGAGGGAGAACCCAATATATTAAAGTGGACAAAAGAAGGAAAAGAATTAGTAGAAGTACTGAAATGGGACTTAATCACAGCACCTGTGTTAGAACTGCCTGCCTTAAAGAAACCATTTCATCTTTTTGTAGCTGTCAGTGAAGAAGCTGCTTTAGGACTTCTAAACACAAGAATAGGAAGACAAAATAAAACCTACTGCATATTTGCCTAAGCTATTAGACCTTGTATCTCGAGGTTAGCCCAAATGTGTCCAGGTGGTAGTAGTGTAGTAGCAACTGCAAATGCCTTCTCTGTCTCTGCCTATACTGCTGGAGCCTGTCCTGAGGAGTCCTGTACCCCTGAGGCCCCAGAGGAAGGTCAGGATCAAGGAGGAGTTTGCCTCAGTTGATGAGGACTGGATTAAGGAGCAATCAAACAATCTGGACATCCATAAATCTATGTGTCCCGATGAGATGCACCTGTGGGTGCTGAGGGAGCTGGCAGAAGTCACTGCTAGGCCAGTCTCCATTATCTTTGGTAATTTGTAGGGAATGAGAGAGGTGCCTGAGGACTGGAAGAAAGCAAATATCACTCCAGTCTTCAGAAAGAGCAAGAATAATCGGAGTAATTATAGATTGATCAGCCTCACCTCCATCCCTGGAAAGGCAATGGAAAAACTTATCCTTGGCGCTGCCTCTAGACATATCAAGGATAATAAGGTCATCAGGAGCAGTCAACATGGCTTCACGAAGGGGAAGTCATGCTTGACTAACCTGATACCTTTTTATGAAGATGTAACCAGGGGGATAGATGATGATAAAGAAGCGGATGTGGTCTATCTTGATTTTAGTAGAGCATTTGACACCATCTCCCACAGCATCGCCACAGCTAAACTGAAGGAGCGTAGTCTGGACGATGAAGTAGTGAGCTGGACTGTGAACCAGCTGAAGGAAGGAAGCCAGAGAGTTGTGGTCAGTGGGACAGAGTGAGTTTAGTTGAAGGCCTGTGTCTAGTGGAGTCCCTCAGGAGTTAGTACTGGGACCAGTACTATTCGATATATTCATTGGTGACCTGGATGAGGGAGTAGAGTGCACTGTTAGCAGGCTTGCTAATGACACAAAACTGGGAGGAGTGGCTAACACACCAGAAAGCTGTGCTGCTACCCAGTAAGACCTAGACAGGCTGGAGAGTTGGGTGGGGAGAAATTTAATGAAATATTTAATGAAATATAACAAGGGCAAGTGTAGAGACTTGCCTTTGAGCAAGAATAACCCCAGGTACCAGTACAAGTTGGAGATTGACCTGTTTGAGAGCAATGTATGGGAAAGGGACCTGGGGGTCCTGGTAGACAGCAGGATGACCACAAGCCAGCATTATGCTCTTGTGGCCAAGAAGGCCAATGGCATCCTGGGGCATACTAGGAGGGCTGTGGTTAGTAGGTCAAAAGAGGTTCTCTTCCTCCTCTACTCTGCCCTGGTGAGACCGCATCTGGAGTATTGTGTCCAGTTCTGGGCCCCTCCGTTCAAGAATGACAGGGAACTGTATGAGAGTCCAGCACAGAGCCACAAAGATGATGAAGGGACTGGAGCATCTCTCTTACGAGGAAAGGCAGAGGGAGCTGAGTCTCTTTACCTTGGAGGAGACTGAGAGGTGGCCTCATTAACATTTATAAATATGCAAAGGGTGTGCATCAGGAGGATGGAGCCAGGCTCTTTTCTGTGACATCCAGTGATAGGACAAAGGGTAATGGGTGCTGGAACACAGGAGGTTCCACAAAATGAGAGAAAAATCTTCTTCATGGTAAGGTTACAGAACACTGGAAAGTGCTGCCCAGAGAGACTGTGGGGTCTCCTTCTCTGGAGACATTCAAAACATGCTTGGATGTGTTCCTTTGTGACCTAATCAAGGTGTTCCTGCTAAAGCAGGGGATTGGACTAGATGATCTTTTGAAGTTCCTTCCAATCCCTGACATTCAGTGACTCTGTGATTCTGTAACAGGTATGGAGAAGGGACAGCAGCCAGTAAAATGAAGACTTGGTAAAAAAAAATACTCTTTTCACATCATAGCTGGGATTCTGGTATTTAATTTTTTTAAATAAGTAATGCAATTTTTTTAGCTCATCTTTCCTTTCCTTTTTCCTTCCCTTCCCTTCCCTTCCCTTCCCTTCCCTTCCCTTTTTAAATTTCCCTTTTTCCCTCTCCCCTCCCTTCGCTCCCCTCTCCCCCCTTCACTCTTCTCTCCCCCCTTCGCTCTCTTCTCTTCTCCTCTCCCCCCTTCGCTCTCTTCTCTTCTCCTCTCTCCCCTTCGCTCTCTCCTCTCCTCCTCTCTTCTCCTCTCCTCTCCCTTCTCTTCTCCTGTCTCTTCTCCTGTCTCTTCTCATCTCCTCTCTTCTCCTCTCCTCTCCCTTCTCTTCTCCTCTCCCTTCTCTTCTCCTCTCCCCTCTTTTCCTCTCTCCTCCTTTCCTCTTCTCCTCTCTTCTCCTCTCCTCTTTTCTCCTCTCCTTTCCTTTCCCTTTCCTTTCATTTCCTTTCCCTTTCCATTCCTTTCTCCCTTTCCTTTCTCCTCCTCTCTTCTCTCTTTCCATTTCTCTCTCCTCTCCTCTTCTCTCCTCTTCTCTCCTCTCCTCTTCTCTCCTCTTCTCTTCTCTCCTCTTCTCTCCTCTTCTCTCCTCTTCTCTCCTCTTCTACCGCCCCCACCGTTGAAGACAAAACTCCCTTATTCTCCTCCATGTCTCGCTAGAAAAAGGAGAGTCTCAAGTTGTGACTGAGTAATTTTTGCCTCAAACAGACTTTGAAAGGAAAAAAGAAAAGCTGCTTCCTCCCCAGATCCCTCTGGCAGAGGCAAACTACAAGTGTGAACACAGTAACAGCAAAGGCAGGAGTGCCAATACCTGTCTGTGGCCTTAGGCAGCCGGGAAAAGTTGTCAATCATGACCTCTGTGTCACAGCGGGTGAGGATGACCACTGCCTGGCACAGGAAGGGCATGAACGTGCTCTGCTTCATGGACGATGCACAGCTGCGCAGAATGTAGAGGATCATCAGCACCTGAAACGAGGAGAGAAAGAACAACTTGCTGCATCCTTGATTCTGCAGGACGTAACCATGGACATTCAGAGCATGAGCTGTGCCTGCTCCCTTGACATGCTGCTAAGGCGTAAGCCTAAATTGCACACCAGCCACCCTGTACAAACCCTGGCTCTGCACTCAGGCTGTGCTTGTTTGCCCCTTGTGCTAAAGAGCACAAGGCATAGTGCAACAGCCAGAAGAAGTCCAAGACATGTGGAAGAAAGTCTCTTACGTCCCGACAGATGTTCTTCCTGTGCATCTGCAGAAAAGTGATCATCCAATTCCCAGCTGCACGCACACGCATTCCTTTGCCTTTCCGGAAGGTGTCCTTGATGGCCGTCAGGAAGTCAACAGTTTGTTCCAGGGGTAAGTTTCTGCACACGATCTGCATAGAAATGAGAAGTAGGAGAGATCTCATCACTGCACTGCGGCAGCTCTTCAAAACATAAAGCAGTGTTGAAGGCATTCTTAGTTCAGCGTTTGCTGGTCATTCAGGCAGCAATTGCAATGCTCCTGCTGTCCATACCCTTCCATTCATATGTACGATGGTTGAGTCTTCTCTCAGCTTCTCCGCCCATGGTGTTTGCTTACATGCAAAGCTTACCTCCCAGCAGCCACAGTCACACACACACACATACATGTCATGGAATTAGCTCCTTACACTGGGCACCTGAAGGCCAGACATAGCTCAGCACTTCCTTCTACTTGCTGAGAAAAGTGGTCTCAGGGTAACAGCTCATTCTGGAAGTGGTGGGAGAGGCTGGAGGGAGCAGAGGGATGTGCAGAAGCCTACACACTGAGATCGTACCACTCCTTTTTGGGTCCACTTACCCTTGCGATTTTGGATGAGGTCCGGAGCTGAGAGGTGGTGCTGCATTCAGTCAGCCCCTCACACAGGCTCCCGATGTCGCCCATCTCAATGACTCCGTTGGTCACCTTGGCTGGAAGGAGCACAGGGAGAAAAGGGAAATCATGCTTCTGAAAACAGAACCTCTTTCCACAGGAGGACAGGGTGGCGATAAGAAGAGAACTGCGCACGGTGCCTCCCCCTCCTGTAATAAGGGCCCAGCCCATGAGGCTCTGATAGTGCTGTGGAGGAGAGCAGAGGGCTGGTGCACCCCACTCTACTCACCTTGGATTCGGAGGATGGAGCTCAGACAGGCGATGGCCAACTGGCGGGATGTGGGCATCAGGTCACACGTCAGAGGTGCCAGCAATCCCACCAAGGAGCCAAAGTGCTTGCAGGCATCTCCTCTCTGCAGGGGTGAGAGGCAGGAACAAAGCTGTAGGCAGACCCAGCTCTCCCTAGCTTCTCCTGCCTGTACCTTCCCCATGCAATGGGTGACACAGTATGCATAGCTGGGCAGAGCTTGCCTTCCAGCTCAGGAGCACTGGGGAGAGAGCAGGGGCATGTGATGGGGCTCTTTACTCACTTGAAGCTCTTCACAAGCAGCCAGCAGCTGGGAGCAGGTCTGCAGGGCCCTCTTGCGCTCCCACATGTTGTCTGATGTTAATGATCTCTGCAGAACCTGTAGCAGAGCATCTGTATCACTGAGGACATATTTTCTTTCCCTTCCTGCCACCCCTCTCCCTGTCCCTCCTTTCCTGACACTTTCCCTCAGGGCCTGCCTTGTGGCTCCACACAGCCCCCCAACTCACTGAGCACTGGCACTGCTGCCTGCGTTCTCTGCAGACACTCCTGCCTCCTAATCCAGGAACTTTTCCTTGGCTGTAGCCTGCCAGGGGCTGGCTCCTGCCTTTTCCTTGCAGGGCCCATTTCTCTACCCATTTCTGAGCTCACAGTGAGCTGTCAGGTCAGCAGAAGATTTCTCCTCCTCTCATCATCCTCTCATTCCCCAGATCTCTGTCCCTGCTATCAACAGGCACCGTGCTTTCTCTCTTTTCCCACATTTACTCACATGGACTATGTTCTGGAAGAAGCTGAGGGTGGGCTCTGTCTCGAGCAGGACCACCATGAGCCGGCCCAGAGCTTTCAACGATGTTTGCTGAAGCTGAAAGCAGAAGAGGGGATTGAGGTGCGGCATCATGGCTGCTGCCAGAGCATAGGTTGTGCGTGCTGAGATAGGGTTCCAATTGAGAGGTGGCCGGGAAAGTTACGGCAGGTTACCTGCAGGTACTGTGCTGCTTGCTGTGACTTCCTGATCTTCAGCATCCTCTTGGCTGAAGGGTGCGTCACAATGTTTTTGCAGCACAGAGTCAACATTTCACTCATGTCCTTGCTTCCTCTAGAGGGCTTCAGCTTGCTGAAGGAGGAAAAAAGGAAGAGAAAGCAGAAAGAGCCTTTACCAGTGCTCTCCAGACTGGTTCAGATAACATCTCAGTTTCTCCTAATGCACAGCTGCAAAGCCAGCATCCCCAGCCCATGCTGCTGAGCACTGTTTTTAGTTCCATCAGCACCCTTCTCCTCACCAGCAGCAGTGAACCACCTGCCTTTCTGAAGGGAAGGAGACCCCAGGTCTCCCTTCTCTTCCCTGCCAGGGGACAGGAGCACCGCCTTTCTCCCTGCCCAGAAAATCAGCCTCACTGGGCACAACAGCCCAGCCATCTCTCCTGAAGATGTGGCTTCTCATCCCCTGCCCCCTCCAGGCCTTCAGAAGCTACCCGAATGGAGGACCACCATGCTGCTTTGCAACCCCAGAGGCTCCCGCCCTTACCTCAACTGCTCCAGGGCCAGAATCACCTTCAGGGGCACTGGAGATACAGGGGTGCCCATGTAATACTTCTTCAGCAAGTCCTGCAAGTCCCAGAGAGACACTGTCAAAGTGAGCAAGGGGTATACGAGAGCTCTTCTGTCCAGCCCTGAGACAGACACAACTGCCACACACTAGCTCCATCATCCCACGTTTCCCACTGAAGCACTGCAGGATGCAGCATCTCCATAGCTGGTGGACCTAACCCACTGCTCAGCCGCTGCCTGCTAGCACCCAAGGTCCCCACCAGCTGGAGATGTGTAGCTGGGGGAGACCTGTACGTCTCCAGGGAAGCAAGCTTCATGGCACAGCCCAGAACTCCTCTGCAGACAGCCCTGGCTTTAGGCACTCACCATCAGGATCTCCAGCAGCTTGCCCTTCAAGGAGGGATTAAAGAAGGCGGAGCCACCCACAGCATGGACGGCAGAGCTGAAGTCAGTGATGCTCTGCACCAGCGCAAGCTTGTTCTGCAAGTCCTGAGGCCCAAGAGAGAAGAACATTCATTGAACTGTGGGAAGGGCCAAGGGCTGCAAGGGAGACACGTGGGGGCAATGCTAAGGGAAGGGCTTGGATCTTCATCTGGGCACAGACCATTCCCTGAGGGACCTTTGGAAAGAGAAGGCCCATCTCAGCATCCCCCCATGCGGAGGGGCTGAAGCTGGGCACTCTGACACCCAGGCAAACCCCAAGCGCTCACCTGACAGCTGCAGCTGTACAGCAGCAGGATGTTGCCCACGATGTCTCCCTCCAGGCGGGCAAGCAGCTGTTCCTTGGAGGCTCGCAGTGCCAAGCTGCCATGGGCGAGGATGAGAGCGCTGCGTGTGGCCTGAGCTCTCGTGCTGTTCAGCTCCACCTGTGAGGGGAGAAATGCCTTGAGACACTCGCTCAACAGCCCCCAGTGCCCCGCAATGCACCTGCGCTCCCAAGGCAGGAGCTGCTGTGAAAATAAGGTGAAAGAAAGACAAGATGGAAACCCGTAACACTTTACC